GTAGCAGTAGTAGTAGTAGTAGTAGTAGTAGTCGTAGTAGTCGTAGTAGTCGTAGCAGAAGTAGGAGTAGTAGTAGTAGTAGTAGTAGAAGTAGTAGTAGTAGTAGTAGTAGTAGTAGTAGGGGCAGCAGCAGCAGGAGGAGGAGTAGTAGTAGTGGTAGTGGTAGTCGTAATGGTAGTGGCAGTGGTGGTGGTTCCAGTTCGTGGTGGTAGTAGTGGTGGTATTAGTAGTAGTAGTAGCAGCAGCAACCACAGCAGCACCAGCAGCAGCACCAGCAGCAGCAGCAGCAGCAGCAGCAGCAGCAGTAGCAGTCATACTAGTGGTGGTGGTGGTAGTAGTAGTAGCAGTAGTAGCAGCAGCAGCAGCAGCAGCAGTAGTAGTAGTCGACGTCGTCGTCGTCGTCGTCGTCGGTGGCGTAGTGGTGGTGGTGGTGGTGGTGGTGCCGGTAGTGGCAGAGTCTGGTGGTGGTGGTGGTGGTGCTGCTGCTGCTGCTGCTGGTTGGGGGTGGTAGTAGTCGCAGCAGCAGCAGCAGCAGCAGTAGCAGCAACAATCTACTGCTGCGGCTACGACGACGATGATTACTGCGGTTCATCGGCTGGGTTGGAGGTACTCAGGTACTTCTTCCGACAATTCATGTTCCAGTCAGAAACTTGCTCCGAAGCTTGCCGAGCTAGCCCTGATTGAAGCTGCTTGAACGTGTGTTGGTGCAGGGGATGACAACGTTGACTCTTTCTTGGAAAAACTCCGCGGAAAGGCCAGCCAGCTGCTGATCACCAGTTGTGATTCAGTCATGTCCAGCTGCATCGAGTTCATACTACGGAGGAGTAAAAACCGACAGCTTGAAATCCGCCGGGAGTTTCATTGCCTGTGTGCATGCCAGTTTGATGTCCAGGCGCCCAGGCAAGCAGCTGACAAAGATCAGCTGGCATCTCAGATGTTGCACAAGCTTGGAAGTATAATTTCGAGAGCATCGCAAGCAACAGCAATACAACATTCGAGATCATTCGACATTTATTTTGGTTGCCATATGTTCCAGTACCTGCATTCTAACGACTGTCTCTGAGCAGATTTTGCGGACATCACATACTGATTTTGTTGTGGGGTCGCGAATGCAGACTTGCACAGACTCACAGGCAGTGGCAAGACAGGAGGAGCTCGAGGCGTGTCGCGCGCGATGGTGTGCAGCAAGCACATGGCCTCATGGCTGCCTCCACGGCCGATGTTTTGCTACTTTGCAGAGCGAAGGAGCCGCTGTTACGCTGAAAAATATATCGCTCACTTGGACAGGCAGGATGACAAGCAAGAGCTGCTCAGATGCAGTCGGAATATGCCGGCCCGGGATGTCGGGTCGGCTGGAGCGGCTAGAGGATTGAAGCGAACGAAGTTTGCTTTTTTGCCTTGCTTCAGACTTTGGCTGATAACCGGCACACAGCTCCCCAGCCGAGGTGGGATTGGTCCAGCCAAAAATGGTGGGATCAGTGGAATGACGAGTCGTGGAAGTGGGATGAGCGGTGGAGTGCGAAGGGCACAGACGACAAGCAGTGGCTGAGGGCTCAGACGGCTTAGCGATGCTTCGCGTGCGCTTCGCACTTTGGGACTTTGGGCAGTGCGGATGTTCAGGGTCGAGCCGAAGGATTCATGGTGGGCCTGGGAAGGCGCCCTTGCGCTGATCATACGGTGCTTCCTTTGCTCATAGCGCTTTGGGAGGCCGCCCATACTGGAACGAGCAGGGCTGGAAGTCAGAAGAGGCACCCAACATCCACGACATGAGGTGAACGACCCAGAGACGGAAGCTAAGTTGCTGGTTGCTGCCGTGTCTGAGGACGAGAGCTGGGGAGAATGGAGAAGCGGCGACGAGCATGGAAGCGGGAAACGTGGAAGCCCAAGCGTTATATCCGAGCTCGGCACGCGGCCGCCCTGAGCCAACTGTTTCCTGAAGCAGGGAGCCTGCATTGCGCAGAGGTGGGACAGAAGCGGAGCAGGCAGGCAAGCCGCAAGCCGCAGTCTCTTTGGAGGCAGTCGTTTTCGGAGTTTTTGGCATGCATCTCTTCCAGAAGTTAGCTCACGCCTGTGCTCCAATCTTCCACCCGCTCGGACTTATTCCTGACCAGTGCATTGAAGCCCCGCTGTGAAATCATGCGTTCTGTGCGGGATAGAGTTAAGTTACAGGTGGTCCAAGACGACATGGACACAGTCAACGCCCGCCTTGTTCCACCGAAAGCTCGAGTCATTTAGTTAATGACGTTGGATGGCGCACAGGCCGAAGACAAGAAGCTCAAGGACAGCAAGGACGGCAAAGAAAAAGCCAAAGAGAAGAAGGCTCGAGCACTTTGCTGGATCTGGCTGCTGTGTTTTCATGGGCCGTTGAATGTCGAATAAACTCCGGACCTGTCAGAGGACAAGAAGGAAGACAAGAAAGTAAAGAAGGCATCACATGTTGTCCCGTGTTCTGTTTGAAGTCGTCAGACTAGCAATCGGTGACACGTGGATCGTCAAAATGCTTGTCAACATCCACTAGCAGTCCCTGCTAGACATGTATCTTCAAGTTAGGATAGAGCTTGTTAAGATCTACGAACGCAAGCTTCAATTTGGCTCGTAGCAGCATGCAAGCATGCACAGATGTATGGCATTGAATCACGGTCGAACTCCTAATCGGCTGGCCTGAGGAGAGTGGCATTAAAACACATGCACATCAAACAGGGCTCTATAACAGCAGACATCAAACCCAACGAGCCTTTGCAACTAGCAGCCGTGTCCAGCTCTGGCCGACTGCCCGATGGATCCGATACAGGCAGAATCTTTGAGCGATGCAGCGCTTCCCTTCCCAAGAAGTGTTCTGAAAACACGAGGCTTGGAAGCTGCAGCAAGCGCGCTTGGGGAGCAAGGCCTTCACAGGACCCCAGAGTGGCACAGTTGACAGCGGCATATGTGCAGGAGAAGACCTTAGAAGAGCTTCGATCCTCCCAGGCACGATGGTCGGTGGCCTTTGCCACTCAGTTCGAAGGCTTCATTGCACTTTACCTGTCATTACTCTGTGGCAAATCGAAACACTGGTTGGATTCTTCGCAGCTGAGGACATGTCTGACGAGGACATGCAGGGGTCAGCGAAATTGAGCAGAACAGTGTTTGAGGAATTTCCGAGTTGTGTCTGATCGCAGCATCGTTCCTAACGATCGCAAGAGAGTTTGGGCTGAATCGACTAGTGCACAGCCTGCCCCTCCAGGACCAAGACGGTCTTATCACGGAGAGTGAGTGCAGCAAGGCCTTCAAGAGGCTTGGGTGATGGCCAGAATCTTTGCGCCGTGAGTTCGAGTGTGATGGTGCTTGGTTTTGATATTGCAGCATCAAGATGCCCGTGCTCGGAAATTCACTTTCTCGAGCTACTGGTCAGGATTCTCGGAGCCAATGCTGAAATGCCGAAGTACCGGCTGAAGGTGGCCAGTGCAGTGGCACTTGCGAACCACGCGCAGACCTTGAAGTTGGATGCGCCTTTGACTTGAGGAGATGTTTGACGAGATGGATGTGCTAGGCAGCATGGAAGGGCAGCGCTCAACCAATCCATAGCATGCTCTTCCATTCTGCTGCAATTCAGCCCTTCCTCTGCCAGGAAAGCAAAGGTTGGACTTCCGGCAGTTCCACAAGTTGGTGCGCCGCGTCATTCTTCTTCTTTCTGCATCTGCTTCGTCACGGGGAATTCGGGTGAGTCGAGTCTGTTGGCATTCCACGAAGGGCCAATTTTTGTGAGCAGGTCTTGTGGTTCGCAAACACGCCCGGCAGCAGGATATGCACTGGTATGTTTGCCCGCGAAGGCCGCTGAGCTTTCGAAGTACATGGCCGACAACCCAAAGTGGGCCAAAGAAGAGGTTCAGCAAGCAGAGCAGTTCTCGTGGAATTGCAAACTTGCTCACTATGTCTTCGACAGGGTAGTTCATCGCAGGCTGCATGTCCGATTGACAGGAACTGCCATGTAACTCTTTTCTGGTTGCAGGAAGACAAGGCCGAGAAGGAAGAGAAGTTGAAACAACAGCAGCTTCGTGAACGTGCGAAGAGCGATGCTTCTGATGCAGGGACGCCCAATGCAGGACATGCAAGCCACACCATTCTCCGCACCCGTCTTTCTCCCTCTGCACATCTCAGGTCTTTGCAATTCTTGGCATAGCTAAGTCCAAGGCGGGCAGCGGGCGTGCTCGGATGATATTTTGCTGAAGTATGCGCCCATCACGAATCCAGCAAGGACGTCCAGGAGACAGAGCAAAGGAAGAACATGGAGCCGCCCCGAGCTGCAGATGCTGCAGATTGGATGCCCTGGGCCCTGGACCGCTGTAGGCTTTGAAGCAGGCCAACGAGGCCAAGGAGATGCTCAAGGCTCCGCGGAGCTCTGATCCGTACCACCGGAACTTCTCGAGCCTGCCCGTGAAGGCTGCGGGGCAACAGGTCCTGGAGCCCAAGCATGCTCGAGACCCTCGTGGCCGGCGCTTCACGTCGGAGCCCTCCCGCGTTAAGGGTGGGAGCGGGCCACTCGAACACCGGGGTTGAGGCTGCTTTCAGGCACATTCTGAGAGCTGTTGCCCTGTGTCCCACGGATGTGGAAAGAAGTCGCTGTGCATGCCAGTTTCTGACTTGCCCTTCCTCTGACTGGCTCGGCACGCCTCTGCTGTGAGGACGGCACCACCAGCCCCACGAAGAAGCCGGTCGACGATCCAGGCTCTCCTTCAGGTGCCGCAGAGGAATTGGTCTTCAGAAGATCTTAGTCTCGTCATGCCTCGTTGGTAGCAGAGGACCGAGCAGGGTTGTGTGAGAGTTTCCATTGCTTGTCGCCTGCCGACCAGCCCGGATCACATCCGTCACTGTCAACCGACGCGCTGGACGAACCGGCGGCCGCCGTGCTGCTCGTCCCAACAGCAGAGACAATCTCTTGCCAGCTTTTTCGTGTCAGAACATGCATGTAGGGAGCCGGATGGACACATGGCCTTGATGTGGTACGGATCTTCACACCCCGAGGCAACTGTGGATCCCTCCGCGGACCGGGCAGGGTTGTGGTTGCAGCGGGTTTCAACTCCAGGCTTCGGGACGCTTGATGAACCCGACACCGGCTCATGCTGCAAGGGGGTCGCTCCGGCGACGATCCTTTGCAGACGCCTGAATGCCTTGCGCTCATGCTTCAAAGCAGCACGGAGCAATCAAGCAGATCACGCAAAACTGCGACCACACTGCACATGCAACATATCGAAACTTCTCAAATTCTGCATCCTCGCAACACCCGACTTCATCCAGTCAAAAGCGCCATGCGGCGATCCCGGTCCCCGCGGCTTAAAGTGGACACGGTCAAGTTGACGAGTGTCCCGACTCGCATGATAGGGTCATGTTGCATGGCCTCATTCGAAATTTTTTTGTAAAGGAAGAGCGTCGAAAGCTTGTGTTTTTCAGTAGGTTTCCTTGTCGCAGGTACGTACGGTGTCGTTGAACTCATTACGCGTGACGCATTGGCATCTTAAAAGACGAAGGCCAGATAGCTGGCTTCGGGCGCTACCCGGCGAATCGCCCACCTGGCTTGCGAGTGCGTGTTGGCCGCGAATGCAGCAGCATGGAGGTTCAGAACTTGATGAATCCCTGCCGCATACAGAATGGTGATGCATTGGTCAAATTGACACCAGACATCCTGAGTTTGCGGCGTTTCCTCCCTGACGTGAGGGATTGCTGGGGTGATGCTGCGGGCTTCACGACGTCCGAGGTGCGCCTCTTGAGAGTCCTTAGGACCTTATATGGGAGTCCTTGTTCTCGCATCACAGATCAGCTGCCACAGCCGTTTCAAGCTTGTTGGCTGCAGGCTAGCCACGCAGTCTGGGTGTGGTGTGGTGACCGAGCTGTTCTGAAGAAGTGTCAACAGCAAAGCAGCACAGGTGCTGCAGGCCATCAGGAAGCACATGCTCCGCGACCACGGATCTGGAGGGTCGCTTCGTTTCGGTATTGCTGGCAATGAGAACGAGGACAGCCATGAAGTGAAGAAAGTGCCCACATGGTGCTGACATTGGTGGCAGCTAGTCGCTGTTCATAAAATCTGGCAGGGTCTCCAGATACAAGTGTTCCCCAGCCAGAGAATCTTGGTTGCAAAAGCGACGATCCTTTGCAGTTTCTGTGGTGTACACCAGCAAGGCACTGGAATCAACATCATGGTTCAACTGCAAGAGTCGCCAGCGTAACGCCAGAATGCCAGTGCCTTCACGTACCGGGGGGGCAGCCAGGAGCTGGCTCGTCAACACCTCGGTCGACACCCCGTTCCACACCTTGTTCGACGCCACGATCGAACAATGGTCGAGGAGGCTGGATGAAGGAGGCCGACAGCTCACTTGACACTTTTTGTGCGCACACCCACCCGTACTTGCACAGGTCTGTAAATAGTACAAGAACAGATGGAATGATCCATTGCGCCCCGAGAGGGAGGCCAACAACTGGTCAGGCAATGGTTGGTTGCCGCAAACTACCCTGCAGTTTTCGCGCCCACTTGTAGCTAACCCAAGAGGTCAAAACCCCCTTGGCTGCGTGACACGTGTGTCAAACATGTTCTACGCAGTGGTTTAGGCATGTGCATAGACTAAGAGTAACAGCATCAGGACAGGCTACCGGGTTTCGGGTACTCAGGCGTTCCGAACATACAAGGTCCTGCAGGTTTCCGGATGCAGTAGACGAGGGGCCATAGGATCATGGAATCCGGTCAACACATGTGCAAGGCATTTGTCAGCATTAATGTCTTCGCCCGCCCTGATGCTAAGTTTAGCGGTGCAGCCCGTCCAACCCGGGAACGCAAGAAGCACATGCTCATTGGCCGCTTTGCTTTCGCTGCTTTCTCTACAGGAAGATGGTGATGCAGATCGGCGAGAGGTGCAAATCAAACTCTGTCAGCCTGATTCAGCCTGCCACTGCATGCAGCACCGCATACGACGGGATTGGTGGATGAATGACTCACAACTTCAAAAGAAATTTGCTGGAGGTGCCGGTTCCAGGTCGCCTCAGACTGCAGCGAAGGGCCACGTCCGGACCGTAATTCGGAAAGATGCACCACGGTCATACAAGGTGTGCGTTGCAAAACGAGTACCTCTAAACGAGTATGTGCAGTGCATCTGGCAAGCTGTGTCAATGTACCACGGCATGTTCGTTTTCCTGTCATATTTATCGTAGTCGGTGTAGTTGTTGAAAGTTCTCGCAGTGAGTTTGGTGCTGTTCGATCACGGCAGGAAGTTTTCGAGCACCAGCAGAATGCGGCGATGCCAAAATGTCCAAGTGGATCTCGTGGGTTGCTTGGCGAGAACGGCTAGGTCTGGGGACGTAGGCTCCCACTGATCGCACCCTCCGAAGAGCCGTGCCCAACCCATCGAAAGCGCACAGATGCTCAGGCTTGATGTTCCACACCTGCTTGTCTAAATGCCAGCCTCGCGTGCTGGTGTGCAGGTCCTCAGAGCTGGCTACCAACAATTGGGAATCCGGCTGTGGGGTCGTGAGCTTGGCATATGGCAGGAATCGCTGGTCTTTCCATCAGCTTTCCCCTGCATGATTTGCTACTGCATTCCCAGATGGTTGGCTAGAGCTGGATGCCGTCAAAGATGACGTGCCGTGGCACATGGGCCGCTTTGGCAAGGGTGAGAGGCTTGGCTGCAGAATTCTGCAGATCTGCGGAGTCGGAGAATGCTGCAGTCTTACGCTGTCAGGTTGGAAGGCTACATTCGTGACATTGACATTGAGGGCCGCTTCGATTTCTGGAATGGCTGGCTCAAGAAGGTGCCCCATGTCCCTTGGCTCTGCCTCACACAGCGTCAGCGGCATTCCCTCTTCAGTTACAAACCATAGGCCTTTGGGCTCGAGCTTAAGGGAGTGCAGGGATCGGGGCCGCACGGGGGGAAGAGCTTGCGCAAACCATAGCTGAGGACCGCCGACAGCCTAGGAATGCCGGATGGGTGAAGGCAGGACTTAAAAACCAAGAATCACCCCTGGGTGGCCCGTGGCATCGAGTGCCCGGCTCGGGCAGGCAGAGGAAAAGGAGGAGCAAGACAACGACGACAGGCCTGGCTGAGTGAAGAGTGCGTAGACTCGAAAGAATCGGCATCTCAAGCGAAGCCAGATGATGTACTCTGTTGCCATATACTGATACTTGCACATCTCAGAATCCTCTCCTGCTCCATTGTTACCAGTTGCACATCCTGATGTAGTCAACCACCCTTGGTCAAACCTTGAGACCCCTGGCTGAGATTTTCCGAGCTTGAAGAGATCGACAAGGCAACAGCGTGTCTCATTGCATCTCGATGGTCTGCAGAGCTGAGCGGCACCGACACAACGGCATACACTTGTAAGGTTGTCATGCTCCTTGTTTACTTGCGACAAATCGCAACATGGCAATATGTGCTGGCATATGTCGAGAAGGTTGTGAAGACAGAGGAGCCCGACTTTGGTTGCGACTGAGCGGCTCTTGTTAGCAGTGCTGCACGGCTGATGTGCTCAGCCGCCAGGCTGCCTTGCAACGTGATCCTGTCCTGCCTGTACTCGTAGAGACATAGACATAGGCATACATAGGCTGAAGACGGACAGGCTTGAGCTTTAATACTTGATGTCTGAACATTGTGACTCAAGACGACTGAAGGGAGCACCACCCTTGTCCGACTGATGTGCTCAGTCTTCGGTGGTTCGCGCCCGTCTCTTCGCTAGATGTTTTTCAATGTAACCGCGTCCGAAACATGGGCGTCACCTGGACCGCCCTTATGGCATTGCAGCTCTTTTGCAGAGACATCGCTTCATTTCTGAATGCTGGGTTAGCCAAGCGGATACTGTGTGCTCTTGTATGAGCTGCGCAACGCCATCTACGCTTGAGGTGCCCACCAGGAAGATAGAGTGTGGAAGTGCTTGTCTTCAGAGCACTTGCATCCCACTTGATACGTGTTGAAAAAAGCTTGGATTGTGAGGGAAACGTGACGCGTCTTAATGTCTGCAAACTCGTGGTGTTCGGTTCGTCAGGATCTGCCGAAGCTCCACTTGCAGGGGTACGGCCATGACTCTCTGCAGCAGCGTATAGACAAGAAGCTCTGGTCTACTTCAGGTTTCGGATTTGCCACTGGTCGTACATCGCGAAGCCACATGTCAGGAATCAGGAAGAGCCTTTCTGAGCCTCGGTAAGCAGAACACTGTGTGAGCACTACCGAGGCATGTTTTGCACTGCGCTTCTCGCCTGACGATCTGCAGCTGGCCGGAGGCGTGCCGGCAGCCAAGGAAGTAGACTACTATGACTACATACGATTGCTGATGTGGGTGGACCTCACGTACCGTGACAAGATACACTTCGTGTACCCTTACAGCATTGCACGAGATGTTGCATTCTGCCATTCGATTGTCGACGAAATCTAGCATGGGTTCGGCTTGGTTCGCAAAGCTATGGGATTCCTTGGCAGCCTACCTCGATGGTGGTCTGCGAGTCTTCGACGTAGCTCGCCACTGGGCCAAACAAAATCGGAGGAAATTGCTGTTGTTGATCAGTTCGGGGTGGAGTTGCTGTTCTCTCAAGCCTGGATGTGGAATGGAAGCCCCCCATGCAGGAAGCCCCCCATGGAGCCTAAGGAGCGCAGCACCTGCACACGCTCAATCTATCGCCGCGCAATCTTGCGAGGACCGATCTTCAGATTTTAACTCTTACGGTACAGTAATCTTGCGCCGCGCGCAAGTGCGCCAGGGACGAGGAGAAGGATGACATGGAGGCTGCCGCAGAAAAGGCGGCGCTCGAACGTGGCAAACGGCTCTCGAAGCGAGGCATTGGGCTCAGTGGGGGCAAGCGCCCTTCCAACGCGGCCTTGTTGGCAGAAGCACTGTGAGACGGCCATGTTAAAGTCGTGGTGTTCATGGCAATCAAGCTCGCCAGGCACTGCGATGCTGAACTTGCGCTGGCTGTCAGCAGGTAGGCCCTGCATCCTGTGGCTGTCAGTGTCGCCATGTGTCGCCCTAGACACATCGCCAGTTTCGTTTCGGACATCGGGTGTCCGGAGTGTTGTGGTCGCCATGCTCGCCGTTCCTGTCCAAACAGTTTGCTTGGAAGATACGCAAAACACGAATAGGATTCGGCAAATCTGAGTTTTACAGCTCTTGCGGGTTTACCTTGTCAGGTTGCTCCAGGTGGAACCACACCAAAATGTGTTCTGTGCTCCCCTGCTCCGATGTGGGAAGTGACCAGGACGCACAGCCAACATTGTCGCCACTGTCGACACAGCTGGCAGCTTGTTCAAACTTCTGGAGTTGTCCAAGGTTTACAGTGGTACGTACTGCCAGGCGCATAGTCGTGGATCTCGGCATAGATGGCATAGAGTCACAGAGCAGAAGAGGGCTCGTCTCAAAGACACACCGAAGTATTGAGTCACCGACAGTCGGGCACAACATTTTTTCGGTTCCAGTTGGATGCTGGTGATGGTGATGATGCTGATGCTGATGCTGATGCTGATGCTGGCAGTAGAGCTGAGTGGGGACGCGAAGGTAATGTAAGAGTGTAATGACAACGCGCCCGGGGTCCTAAAGAGTGTGACCTCAGGAGATCCTGAATCTGAACCGCCATCTGCAAGAAGCCTGTGCTAGAGGTACCGTTGGCTTCTGGGAGGTGACACGCGGCGGAGGCGTGAAGATTCTGGCGGAGATGCTGGGAGCCACAGATTTACGCAATGAACATTTACAGATGGTCGACAAAGGCAAACTCTGCAACGAGGCCTGGAGAGTCCGAGTTGGGGGCGCTGTCCTTCAGCGAGGCGAGTTCTCAATCTCGCCCTCGTACTCCATGCTTCGAGCTTGCACGTTGCACAGGGCGGAGACAAGTTGCTGGTCGGTGGGCAGGCGCAATGTCATTGTCACTGTCTTGGTTTGTAGGCGCGGTCATGTATTACTGCTTTTTGGCCGTCGGCGTGCGGCGTGCGGCGCCGTGCCTGCCTTCCATGATGTAGTCGACCCCTAGTCAGTCCTATTCCACGGAGTGGCTCAAGGTATTGAGCTTGATCATGTGCCGTAGCACGCCTTGGAACATCAAAGCGCTCAAGACGCAGAATACGGCAGGAGCGGGTCGTAAAGGTTTTCGATGTGGAGCAGTCCCAAGCTCAGACCGCGAGACAACACGTGGTTGCAGTAGTGGAGTTTTGTGTCATAGTGTCATGAGACAGCCGAGCCTCCGCCTCCAGCACTGACTCTGGTGCCAAGGCTGAAGTCGAGCAAAGGCCGTGACATGAAGGTGCCACATAAGATCAGACATTCTTCGCTGCCTACACAGAAGTTGAACCTGGGTGGTAGTGCGAGCGCCTATGGAGTGTGGTCCCGCAGCCGCCTGAGCAGGAAGAGCTCTGCCTTGGTTCAAAGGATGCCATGGTAGGCGCAACTGTGGTCCAGGGATGCTGTGCTGATGCCGCTGTAGCCGATAGTGCAGAGTTGCATGGAGTCGAAGGATGCCCATCGATAGTCCAGTGCAAACCTCTTCGTTTGCCGAAGGAGACAAGCCTTGCCGCCACAGCTTGAAGATCATGAGCCTCTCGGCACCGAAGTCATCGAGACTACTGTTCAGATCAACCTTCCAGATGGATGAATGAGTGGTGTATTATGTGTATTCGATAAATACTGCCACGGGCCTGCAGGATCCCGCTTGCCTCTTCCTGTTGTGAGAGAAGCCAAGCCGAAACCTGACACCGATCACGTTGGATAAGAATCGAACAGCCAGCGGCCACGCGCAACATCCCGCATGATGTGTAGTCACTCCGGCATCCACATGCTCAGGCTCGCCCATTCATCTCAACATGAGAGATGGGCTTTGCGAAGAATTCGAGTGTCAGCCGGCAAAGTGTTAGGGTGTGCCTTGGTTCCAACGCGAGGTCTTCGGTCAGTGCCAGAGCATCAACACCTGTTCTTATCCGGCGGAATGGACAGGAGCCAGTGCTGAGCAACAATGGAGCTTGCAAAAGCTTTGGAAAGTCCTTTCAGGAGTGTCCTTCTGTGGGACCTTCGTACTCCCAAAGCGCCATCGGCATGGATATCCGGGGTGGAGCTGAGCAACTTGGCACAAAGATGCCTCTCCGGCTGTCAGACACTTTGAATCCTCATGCTGCGGTTTTCTTTAGGACTTGAACTCACGGCCGGTTGCTCAGGTGGCGACTCATTAGACATCTCCTGCGATGGCAACACCGTTCTGGCAGGAGCGTCTGCTGCCTTTGGACTTCAATCATAGCACGCTTTGAAGAGGCCTTGAAGAGTCTCCCTCAGGAAGCCACCGCAGCTTGAACCCGCTTCAGCTCTTCGACCTCCGTCTGCTGAAGCAGGCAGACGAGTCAGAGAAAAAGGCCGGAACAGCTACCGTGTGTTGCGATGTCCTTTGCACAATGTGAGCGGCACCACAGTTTTCGGAAGCCTCTTAGACCCCTGAGTGCAGACTGCGGCTCTCGATGTCGTGCCTTCCAGCACGTTTTTGATCTTTTCGACATCGCTGCCGTGCAATCATGTCAGGAAGGACCTCTGTGACATATCCCGTGTGTCCACGTGCAAGTTTGAACATGCTAGTCATATCGCATGCCCGCATCCACTGCAGGCTGGGCTCACCATGACTGCAGTGCAAACATACCAGTGGTCCGCGCCGCAGCTGGGAAACGAGGATGGGTCACGGTCCGGTGAGGCGCAGGGTAGCACACTCTGGGAGGAGAAGCTCGATACCAGCAGACTGTCGTCAGTGCACATTGCTATATCCGGCCGGTTGAATCTGTTGCCGAAGGTCCGGAGATGCCTCGGAGAAGGCCTGCTGAGACTAGTTCTTGGTTTTTGCCAGTTCTTTGAGTGCTCGGATGAGGGATTCAACTCTGGGCCGCTTCTTGGAAAAGGCGGAACTGCCCGAACTATCAGCACTGAGGCTGCCCAGCCTTCGTGCATGGTCTTCCAAGCTGGGTCCGAAGCTCACCCCTTCGGACCGGGCAGACCTCCAGACACAGCACGGCATCGGAGATTTCCATGACTTCGCTTTTGACACAAAACACTTCTTTTTATAGACTGAGCCAACTTCGTGGGCAGAAGAGATGCAGGAGGCCTTCCATGCAGTAGACAAGTTGATGCTGAAGTCTTGCCAAGGTGGGACAGCTTTGACAACACAACAATTGCAGCTGCCGGTGAGAAAGAGAATCAGGCCCTGCCCCCTGGTGACTTGATGGAGCATGTGCAGGAGCATGTGCAGGACACATTGACTGGAGAGTTTTCCACTCGGTGCCGGTAAGCAAAGCTGTGATGCAACCAGGCGAGTGCATCTAACAGCACAGCCGCTCGCGCGACACCGAATGGGCTGGTCGTAGCACGTCAGGCGCGGATCTTCGAACGGCCAAAGAACGGGGGTCCGTTGCGGTCACTTGGGCAGCAGCCAGGGCGACGTCTCTGCATGAGCAGAGCTGCTGTTGCTCAGGATTCTCAGCTCGTTGGAAGGCTACAGTCGTGCCTTCTATTCTGCCTCGGTCAGTTCAGACGGAAGGCCTGTGTGGATAGGATCAGAGCGGGGTCGGAGCTGAGCTTCAGAAGCCTCGACGTGAGGGGCATAGGCATGGGCAGAGTGGCACGGGATTCGAGTGGTGCGGAGGACTGCCGCATTCGGCAGCTCCGACGGCTCTGTTCGGCACCGAGGAACGCACCAGCGCAGGACATGTAGTACATGTATGCAGCACAGTACTACACGGGATTTCGATGCTGTTTGTGCAGCGCTTGGCACCTACAGAAAAGGGTCTCCATCGTTCACCATGCTATGGCACTTTTATGGCTTTCCAACTTCCCTGCGCACTTTTCAGTGGTGTGGCATTCTCCCAAAGCCTGAACCGTCATTCGAAGATGCCTTCTCCCAACGAGCACATGTGAATCAGTTATTCAAGCCGAATGCTAGGTCTCCAGGAGCTCAAAGAGAATAGCCACAATCAATGAATGTCCTACATGTTAGAAATCCTGGCAGGATAACACCGCATCTTCGATGTAATCTGTCGACCAAAAGCATACCTCCTGACCCGATAGTCTTCCAGTCGAGAAATGATGGCACAAAATAAAGTAAAGAGAGCTCAGTATGCCTCACGTACCTTCAGGTGCTATGTTGGTAAGGTTCGCATTGCTGCAGATGTGTGCTAAGATCGTCATCTCGAATGTCCGCATCATGTGAGAAGAGGAGTCCTGTCCCGAGGTGTGCAGTCTTTGCACCGTTAGGAAGAACATCTACCGCAAGACTCTGAAGTACTTCGTGATGTTAGTGCAGCAGCATGGGGCCGGAATGTGGAGACTGCAAAACCGATTGCGGTATGTTGCTTTCGAAATGGGCGCGAGACTGTTTAACAGAAGTGCGCCAAGATTGTGCAGATTGTTTAAGCTGTCATGTGTCACTTGCAAGCAGCTGTGCTACGAACGTCTGGACGAACCCGAGGTGTCAAGGGCACAAACGAGTACAACCCACTGAAGCATCAGCGCACGGTTTTCATTGTGACTCGATAGGGTTGTCCTGCTCGACAGTGAGCTGCGGAAGCGCTTGAACATGCCTGGACTTCAATCTTCGTGCCCAGCAGCGGCAGCGAAGTCAGCTCTCCACAAGCTGAGAGCCATCGAGAGAAGTATCTCCGTCAGCAGAGACCAGGACATAGCAGAGGACAACAGCTTCGAGCAGAGCTCACATCATCCTGCAGTTTCTGACATCATCCCTGCGCAGTACAGCCGTGCTGCACCGAAAGTCGAAGGCAAGAATTTCTGCATGCTGAGATTTGCTGCGTTCGCAGAAAAGAGCTATGCTTGATCTCAGTCGGTTGTCCTTCATTCGCGAGAGAAGGGTGCTCATGGTTTGGCTGTAGTCCCTCGTACCATGGACTGGGATTGAGACTCTGGGGGATGGAAAGGCTTTTGGCGGGTCTCGTTGCCAGCAGGGCCTGAGATCTCGCAGGAGCGCAGAGAGAAGCACAAGGACAAGAAGGACAAGGACAAGAAGGACAAGGTGAGATGCAACCATAATCCGATCACAAGACTGCAAGCCTCTTTCGAATCATGGTAGGAGTTCAAGCTCTTAAGAGACTTCCGTCGATTGACCAGTTCCATGTCTCGTCATGGGTTGAAATTTTACAGCTTCTTTGCACTTGATTGCAGGAGGGGCCAGAAGCAACATCTGTTGTCGGGACCTCGGTCTTTGTCCGTGTCTGCCACGGAAAATTGGATTATCTTGGCTCGTGGTGCAAAGGGACGCAAAGCTCCCGAGCCTGAAGAGGCTTGATCCCTGGGCAAAAGAATCGGAATGAGCTGGTAGCTAGCTGGTAGCTGAAGTTTGCAGGTGACAGCGAAGGACATAATGCCGCAGCCTGGCCAAGACCCAACCTCAGCGGGAGAACTTCGGAGCTCGGAGAAGCGCTGAGCCTCAAGGCGCTGCAGGACTTCGGCTTTCCTGCCACCGTGGACGGTTCCATGACAGCACAGCACTTCCTTACACCTCCACGAATGCCTGTTCGACGGGCCCTGTCGAAGGTTTCTTCCTCTTCATGCGAGAACGAGAGCGCATTCGACTGAGACGCGACTCTTGGACGATGGTTAAGGGTGCAGATTTGTTTTGAACGGATGCTTGACCGTTAGAGGCAGGTTCGGCAAGTTCAATTCAACTGATTCAAACCGCAGGCTGACTGTGTGCTGCGAGAAGACAACCGGAATCCGTTTGTTGCAGCTTTCCCCCAACAAGAAGCATCAACAACACATGCTGTGCTGAAATACTGAAGAGTTCCATGAATGATCTTACCTTAGTCGACCTGATTTCCAATTACGCTTGACCAGGGACAGTCGGGGGGCCGGGGGGGGGGGGGGGGCGCTGCCTCCGCGCTGCGCGCAGGATCAACTCATAGCAAACTGGATTTTTCGACAGCGCCAGGTGCTCATCCACAAGCATCGCCGGTGGGCTTCCAAACAGCACGGGAACAGCGAAAGGCAACTGCAGTCAAGCATAAAAGCCATAAAGCGTGACAGTGCACGAGATTAGAGAATGTAGGCATTACTATGGTGCAGGTCAGGGCTTGCAGCACACATAGGTCGCCAACCGTGCAAGCTGCAAGCTGCAAGGAATTGCAAGGATAATGGTGGGTTAAATGTTTGGGTACGTTTGTCAATTTGATGTTCTCTTCTCGGCATGGCTAACCCAGGTTTCAGCGTGCACATGCAACGTCTATAAGATCTTCGGAGCAACGCGATGCCGCAAAAACTGTCCACCGCTTGAACGAACCTGCGCACAACTCATTGTTTGCAGTGTGCTTCATGCGCAATGTTAACCCTCCCACCCACCCCACCCTCCCCCCCGAAGTTTCTACCACAACAGTATGCTGTTGAACCCCAGGTCTCCCATGTCACGAACACATGGCAGTTGGAGATGATGTGCATGTCTGAAATGTGGGGTTGCTAGTTGCAGTTTTGCGATAGTCGAGCTTGTTTTGATGGCGCACGTAAGGAGTCTTCGCAGCCATATCCCTGGACGGACGACAAGGTGCTGAGACACCTTCGCGTCAGGCTTCGACCGGTTCCGTCTCAGTTCCGGAGTTGTCCATGAAGATGCAAAAGCATATCGCATAAGATGCATGGAAGCGTGGGCTTCCCCTCACTGCTGACAGGAATGTCAAGAAGGACGCTCGGAGTCGTTAATGGGACGTCACGCCAACTGTGCTGGTTCGACGATTTCTCACAGGGTGTTGATTTGGTCTGAATCTTGCCGAAATCTTCGCAGCAGCAACTCAGGAACACGACCGCACCAGCATGCTCATTCGTCGGCTTCTGCTGCCCTTGGATGACAGACACTCCTCTGATGTTAGCTGCCATTGCATGACAGACACTCCTCTGATGTTCAGCACGGGAAGTACTCTAAACACATCTCCGATCTTGCTGGTTCTTGTGTTGTGTCTTTGATCGAGGGTTTGAGTGAATAAACGGTACACTTTTTATTGGGCGTTGCCTCCAGGCTAGATTGTGTCAAACCCTGTGCCCCAGAAGCACGAACGATGTCCTCGGGATTCGACTACCGTCGACAGTCAGCATCCTGCAGTAGCCACCCTCGTTTTCAGATGCGGATCGCTCGACCCCAGAATGGCACTCGAGCACCTCGCGGCAGCAGAAGCGCGCAGTGGTCCGCGAGTACGTGCTCAGTCTCGGTTTATGGAGGCCATCTTTGGACATTGCATGATCTGCTGAACATACGAGAGCCATGTTTCGCCTGCCAGGCGTTTTGGCTCTGCGAGTTTCATCAATCGTGCCGGCCTTGTGGCTGGAGATGCGACACCGGAAGAGCTTTGTGCGAAGGCATTTCCTTCCAAGTACAAGTGCCTGATTGGCAGACATTGTGCTGCGCTTTGGACAGGCTGTATCAGTGGCACTGGACCTTTGGAAGAATGGAGTCCACAGCTGCACCTCGCTACTGATGAAGTTGAATAGTACTTGCGATTTTACCCAGCCCAAGAACTCGCCAAGGCAGTGATGCTTACGGACCTGCTAGCCGTGCCCATGCTGCAGAACTCTATGCGTGGCTGGGGGAAGAGGCTTCGAGATGAGTGCAGGAAGCTGGACATCTCATGCATTTGGCGAAAGTTGTGTCCGAGGGGATTCCGTCGTCCAACGTAGGCTTCCACAAGAGGCTTACTTAGATCGCCACCGCAGAGCCGAGCTGAGCAGAACAGTCAACTGAGCTGAGCTGTTCTAAGTCGCGAGGGGCAAGGCGTTAGTATGCGCAGCGCTTCCTGCACTGGAAGGCAAGCAAGCATCTCGCTGTGGCTTTAAAGCTTCATCCCCGCCACATGCAGCAGACTCTCGACAAAGTTGGTGCGACGTCTTGAGGTGAGGCCCCGATGTTTCTGTGCCCCGGAAACCAGTGATCAGGTCTAATCTAGGGTCCAGGTGGTGGCAGCCAAAAAAGGCATAGTCTCAGCAGAACCTTCTACTCTACTGTTACGTTTACATGCAAGAGTGGAGCCATGCGCTGAACTCAGGATGACGAAGCTGCCTGCTTGAATGGTGCTTGGTGTTCGGTGTGCCAAATGTTCTGGTTCGATCCAGTAGATTTGATGCCTGTGCTACAAAGCACTTGCTTGCAAGTTCGGACAGCACTCTCCAGCATAGGCCTCAGCGTCCGACATCTAGCAGCAAAGGTCTTTGGTGACAGACGCGGGGCTGGTAATCGTCCCTTGGCGTTTGGACTCCACTCCACTCCACTGCCTGCTCTTAACAATGGCCTGAGGGTCGCGGGGATAGCCTGCGCCGAGGTCAGCAGTGGCTTCTTGCAGGTGCTCAACGAAAACGGCAAAGCCTTTCGATCCTCCGCAAGTCATTGGACAAAGTAGTGGCATCTGCGAGGCACGCGAACGCAGTTGTCTGACATGAAGAACGAAGCGATATGTTACAGGCGGTGTGTTCAGGCTACATGCCGCTCGTTTCTGTGACCTGATGCTGACGACGATTTGCTCAGGAAGTCTTTTTGAAAAGGCTGATGAACTGGCAGACGCTGTTGTGGAGCAAGGCGCGATCAGCAGCTGTCTCCTTGTGCGAGTGTTCGCCTACTGGTCTGGAAGGCTTTAGGAGGGCTTGGTGAGACTTCAACTTCGGCATTCGGGTTCCAGTTGTGGCGCATCTGTGTTTTTCTTGCTTCCCGGTCGGGCGAGTCGGGCTCACAGTCTGCCAGGGCCCGTGCGATTCCAACAGCTGGTGCAGCTTCTTGGAGCCGCTGATGGCCACGGGGCCCGGTTCTTAGCTGTTGTTTACGTTGAAGATCCCAGCTCAACTCTCGCTGCTCTCAGGTCAGTAATGGTGTCTATGCAGCAGAGATCGTTCGCGACCTTCTGCAACTTGTCTCTGAAGTTGGAGCAAGATCAGCCTGTTCGGCTGGGCCCAGGCTGGCAGGCCAAGTCATGACAAGTCTGTCGTCGGGAGGGCCACGCAGATTCTGGTATTTCAGCTTTAGCTTAGCCTGGCAATGATTGCAGCTCCATGCAGCTCCAGGATCACAGTGCGTGACCTGCTCTGGGGTTTCCTCTCGCTTCCTTTGGCTTCGTCTGCGACCGCGACTGAGCTGGCGGTTTGACCCCCTTCGCCTTGCGCTTTTGGGTCGGTTAGTTCTGCTTGAGCGTACCTTCGACTCGCGGACGTGGTCGCCTTTCTTATGGTCGCCGTCTTGCTGAAGTTCGCGGCGCAAACGGCGCAAACTGCGGATTACTTTGTCTGCGTAGGACAGGCGACCACCGCCAACGAGGCTCGTTCACTCTAGCAGACTCAAAACTCAAAACTATCGGCAACACCATGGCCAGTCGGGCCTCAGCAGCCTCCGTCAAGATCTGGCTGAAATCCAGCAGATCCATGCCAAAATGAAGCATTCAAGGTTGTCCATGAACTTAGAGATGGAAACTTTGGTGTGGCACCGGTACTCTGAACCCTGATACTTTCATCACGCGACCGGGAGTTCGCAGGTCAAGAGGTGGCCCGAGGACTCCCAGTGCAAGAGCTGGCTGACTCTATGATCGGCTCGGGAGCAGTGTTTTCATTGCGAGGTCGCCGCCCGTGACCTTCAGTGGTATCGACCTCCGTGCTTGTCGGTTTGGCTTAACTGGCTTACATCGATATTCCGGCTGGTGGTTCCAGTGCAAATTTTGTCTCTGCTGGTCCGTTACAAGCTCGTTGGTGGACATTGCATGAGCAACAGCAGAGCATGCCCTCAGCAAGAGTTACAGCGTCTCCCTTGTGTCAGGACGCCGTGCTTTTGTTGGCTATTCAACGTTCTCTTCGCCCTTCGCCTGTCAGCCGAAATCTCGCAGAGTGTTCGCTGGGTCTCGCCGACAATGCTTTGACGTGTCGAGGGTGGCTAGTTCGTTTGCGCCTCTGCTGTGAAGCCTTTCCAGTGAGAGAGGGCATCGAGCTGAGCTCGTGACCTTTCGCAACGAATGGGGACGGGAAGAAGTGGACGACACGATTTGTCCGTTCATTCTGGTACCTTCTTTTCGGTGGAACTTGACCTGTCAAGATGTGCGCTTCGGACCACATGAAGTTGCAGACCTTTACATACTCGTAGCGGCGTACGCAATTTCTGAGGTCAACACCCATCTTCAGTGGTGGTGGTTGTCTGGATATCGCTTCTTGGCTTCAGTCTTCATCTTCAAGTTTCCAGCAAGTCAGAGGGCAGGCCGGAGCCTCCGAGGATCACTGGGTACCTTTGGATCGGCCAACCCGGTGCTGCCTAGATCGCTTGGCTCAGCGGCCTCGAAAGACAGAGGTGGGACCGAGGATTCCAGAAGACCTCGCACCCCCTTTTCCTAGCGGCCTGGCGCCAGTGCTTCTGGCTGTATGTTTGAGGTGCCCAACGAAGTGCTCCTCGAGGTCTCACGTCGTTTTATGTCGTTGTACTGCTTTCATCAAGCATCATCAAGCACCTTGCAAGGTCTTGTAGAGCCCTAAGCAAAGCTGAGTGAAATCAGCCGAAGTCGCCATGTCCGTTGCAGGAGCTGCTTGCGATCTATGGCCGCCGGCATCAGCTGTGGCCCGCAAGTGGCTTGACTTTGTCTGAGGTAAAGGCCGCCGCCAGGCCGCATGGTCGACACAGCCTGTATTCGAGCAGGCATCGAAGACATGCCCAGCGTTGACTTGCAACTGGTGGACCTGCGCGCCCAGCTGGCCGAGTTCGAACGTTATCAGAGGCACCCAGCGGCAGTATGCAGAGTGGCAATTCAGCGATCGGGACAGGATGGTTGACAACTGAAGCCCCACACTTCAACGAAGCTTTCAGCATCTTTCAGCCATCAGCTCGATGCAGGGCAAAGCGCGGCCGTCCCTCCCGGATGCCTTTCGTGGTCCGCAGCTAGGCCGGACGTGTGAATCGCGTGACAAAATAAAGCCGAATGTGCGGACCTGGGTTACTGCGCCATGCCCTTGAATTTCTTTTGAGGTTTAAGCGCCCCATACGTAAACACACCATGCAGTCTTTGTTTCGATGGGGTCGTCGCTGAGTCTTGCATCGATGCCCGAGTCTCACATCAGAGTGTGGTTGGGAACTTCGAGGTCGACCTCGTCGAGAGTGGCACACAGACTGGCGGTGTGTGTGTCACACAACACTCATCGTTTAAGAAATTTTCAACTCTTGCCCAGAATCCATAAAGCGAGTGACATCCCATGGAAAGAGAAACGACTGAACTCACACCGCGACCGTCTGGGCATAGCCAAGGCCAAGACCGAGAAAACGGAGAAAGGGGTTCATGGTGTGGGCGTTGGAAATTGGGCTGGAGAGGGTCGTCCCGCTTGCAACCAGCCTGCAGCAGTGTTGACTGTCAGTGTTACGAGCACACGACATGCTTTCTTTCATTACGGGTTTGGACGCGGAAGGACTCCAGCTGCTGCGGACGCAAGCAATTTTGCCCTTTACTTGTTGCTCACTACAAGGACGCTCGCAACTGCACACTCGAGTCAGTGGATGTCAGTGGAGCTTCTACTGCCAGCGCACGCCAAAAGCCAGCAAGGTGCAGCCAGGGTTCGTGGCCACAAGGCTCGACATCCGGTAAATCAAAGACACCCATGAAGCAAGCACACTTGCGCCATCCGCGCCAAGACAGGCCTTACGAACACGAACGCGGGCACGCAAAATCTTATAGCCTATTCTGACAGGATGATACCGGGCAAGGCGGGCCACAGTCAACAACCGCACGGTCCTGCGTGGAGCAGCATGCCAAGTCTGCATGGTCACGTCAGGCGAGCTGTTTTGATTTTGGAAGTATCTGCTTCAAAACAGGGTCGAGGTTTTCGCCGCACCGTATCGCCGGATGTTGTGTGCCAGTTTGCCCGCAACGGCAAACGCCCTGGCAAAGTTTTGCTACAAAACACGAGAGAACAAGACAATAGCTTGTCGAAAGCTGCAAGAAGACTTGACACATCGGATTCGCTGATGCACCCGGTCCAGCCCAAATTTTCCTTTTGCTGTAGAAGGTGTCGGGCAGATCCTGCGCAGCTTGCATTGACGTGGTGATCGACTGACCCAGGGGTATTGCCGTTGTAGCACCACCTCAGGCCATGTTGACATCTCTTTGGCAGGCATCTGGCCGCTCTGGCCACCGTGAGCGTTGAAACGAGGACCGGCAAAGCTCATCGGTATATAACTCGTTCGATCATTTACCATTGCCAACCGTTACTCTGATAGCGAGCGTTTAATGGTGGGATTTCGAGAGCCAACACTTCCAAGAGTCGCCACAGGCTCTCGCCCAGCGCTCCCAAGAGGCGCGATACATTTTTGTGCAGTGACCAGACTCGGCAGCCTCATGTCACGCTTGCACATGCTTGCACATGCTGCACTGTTGAGCTGAATTCCATAATGTGTAACTCAATGTACAGTACTACAAGCATCACTCAGCACCCTGCCCGCGTCGGGAACGCGGGTCTATTCTTGAGAGCACGTGTACCCCCCGATGTTATATCAGATTTTGGTCAGGAGAGCAGTCTTGTGACAATTGTGCTCTTTTCTCTCAAAGCCTTGGTGCTGCTATGTTCGTTGGCAGATTGCATGTGCCTTGCTATTTGTACCTGTAAGCGAAATGCACAAGCGTACTTAAGTCTGAGGGGCGTTCATCAAGGCAGCATCAGCAACATGTCTCCATCGAAGGTGTAAGCACTGGGATGCTGTCGCCGTAGATGAGTTGCCCGAGATGGGCAGTCTAGCGTTCCGCGAGTGTGGCTTCAGACCTAGCAGACAGGATTACCAACAGCATCCAACAGCCGAAATGTCTAAGTGAATGGTCCGGCGCACATGGCTGGCTATGCGGTTGCAGCTGAGCCACCGCGCCTGCGGCGAGCGCATCTGAAGGGGCATAAGGCGCACTTGCACATGCACCGGTAACTCCACGTCAAAAAATTCTGAGCCGCTGTGCAAGGATGCGGTCCTTTGCCTGTGTGCAGATGCCTCTGGGCGCCTTGCTTCGGGCGGGGCTGAGGGCACCTGTCGCCTCTGGGACCTGGGAGCCTGGGCTGGGGAGCTTCAGCCTTACGCATCCTTGCGCTCGAGCCCTGTAGAGGGAGGCAGAAGCCCGATGATCGCAGGATCTGCGCTGCGAGGGATCACGGCGCTCCGTCCGTGCGGCGATCTTGCCTGGCGAGGTGCCCAAAATGTGCACTCTGTCGTGTCTGCCTTGCGCAAGCAGGACGAAAGCTTCCCTGCTTCCCACTTTCAAGCACAATGGGCGCGTGCATTCTTCGTATATCTATCGGCATTCACCACATCGTCCCACTTGCTTACATGTCAGAACATCCTAGTAGGAGCGTTTCCACAGCAAATGCATCTGCAAACCCGGACTGCCTGGATAATCGCAAGTGCATACCCCTTCGTCCGTGTCGGAGGCGTGCTTATGACTGCTGGACATTCATGCAACCGAACATCGAACGGGCCAAGCGATTGCAGGTTTCTAGCGTGGCGATTTCTTCTGCGAGGGACCCTTGGCAGCACGCCACTCTGTTGCTGAGATCGGAGCGATCGGATTTCTTTGCAATGCTGTGTTTGTGCTGCTTGCCACGCACAGGTTCGATCGGGGGCAAGGTTAGCAGCCATCACTGCTGCCCTTTTCCAATTCGGATCCGTACCAAGACCTCCATCTGACAAGGAGCACTTACTGTTGGCCGCGGTGGGACCAGCTGTCTATGGCTTCGACCTGCGAAGTGAGAAGGTGATCCTCCAGGCAACGATGCCCGTGCCATGGTTTGAAGTTGCATGCAAGGTTGCCGGGAGGTTCCCACTTGGACATGGGCCTCCGAAGCTTTTACACGCTGCAAGCTCGAGCTTTGTAGGCTGCCAAGGCTGCGAACCTGTCCCTGAAACACGTTCACTCTGCATTGCAGGCTGCCGACAAGGTCACACCACTCGCGAAGGATGACATCAATCAGGTGAGTGATGCGAGAGCTGAAGCATAAGTAAGCAAGCATAAGGCAGAGTCCGGAAAAATCTGAAAAGCAAAGTCGGACAGTGCGACGAAGGAGTTGGGAAGAGTCAGGGTGGGAGCCAGACAAGTTCAAGGCCAGTTAAAAACAATGGGAGAAGTCAACAAAAAGAGTCCGGGCTGCCAGGGTCGGCCCGCGGATGCCCCTTTTCATTCCTTTTCCTTTCACCACGAAGCTTCTGGACCCAAATTGGAAGAGACGGTCGAGGGTTAACAATTAACCCGGCGCGGTTCTGAAGGTGTTGGCAAATTCAGTCGTACGGCTGGATCGGAAGGCCTTTTGCGGAGCGAATCGTTTTTTTGGGGATCCCTTTCATAGCCGCTGCCTGGCTTTGGGGTTTCGGCTTTATGGGAAGTTGGTGTTCCTGTCGGGTTCTGGGAGATTGGCTTCGAGAAGCAGCGACTGAATTTTGGGGTTTTGGGATTCCGCGGCATTCGTTGCATTTTTCATATCCCGCTTAGGGCTTTGGGTTTGCAACCTACTGCCACTCTGCCATACCAAAACTAAAAGGCAGCGCGGAGCACTCAGCAAACCTTTTTGCTGCAACGGGTGGACGAGCAAGTCACGGTGGGGCGCCGACAGTCGATTCAGCAGTCGGAACGACTGTGGCTGGAGCCCCTTTTGAAACGTTTTGACACTGTCCCCTCCGCGGTCTAAAGAAATCCGGCTGGCTGGGCGGGCATGGAACCACTTACACAACAGCAAAAGTCTACGGTATCTCTGACAGTCATGTGCTGCCTATCCGCATGGACCATACCAAAACCAAGGGCAGCAAGTGGACAAGTATGTTGTGACGGTAGACGAGCATTAGTCACGGCGGAGCCGGAACGACTGTGGCTGGGGCCCTTTCGGGCCGGTTTGACGATGTTCAGAGGCACAAGGATCCCATTCTGCTTGTCGTGGGCCGCGAAAAGCCTCTTGCCTGGTTGAAGAAACATTGGCTCAGCCCGCGAAAAAAGCAGGGCGTTGTTGCCTGCGAAGCGGGGTCTCTGCAGTTGATTGCAGTGGACTCCACCGAAGATCAGGGTGCCTTGTGCGAACACCCTCACGTGCCCCACTCATGCTATGGTCAGGAAGTGCTCCTGCATGATCCTGATGGCACCGAAGATGTTCAGGGATGTCGTGGGTGGATTAGATTACCCTTGGTCTGTGTGAGTCGGTGTT